TCCACACAGACATGGGGACAGAAGTGACTTGTCCAAACCTCAAGGCAAATAGGAGCTAGCCACCAGCAGTATATCCCCTCGGCCAGGCACTGTGTTCCTCGGGCACTGTCCCATGGAACCCCCCAAACTGCCATGGGGTAGGGGCTGCTGTTCTGACCACTTTATCGGAGAGAGGCAGAGGCTCAGAGAGGGTAAGGGACTTTCTGGAAGTCACAAATCAAGGCGGCGATGGTGGTCTGACCTGAGAGGTATTGCTCCTAACCCCTGTGCCAACTTTCACAGCAGCTGCCATTTATGGGGAGCTTATCTCAAAATCACCCACCCACCCCCACAACGGAGAACCAGGGCCATCACCCCATGCCCCAGAGGCCCCCTTCTCCATTCCTTCCTGCTCTGCCAACAACCCAAGGGTCTTGAGAGCTGTTTGGCCTCAGTCTGTTCATCTGCAAAAGGGAGTTGACCACCCCAGCCCACACCTGTCTAAAGGGGTCAGTGGCCCGGACAATTTCATGCCCCTGGCTCTGAAGCCTGAAGCACCCACAGCAGAGCCAGCCGCTCCCCAGAAAGCCATGAGCTTGCAGGCGCAGCTGCTTCAGAGCGGGAGGGCCCCCACAGGAGCTGTCTCCCTCCAGTCTTCGCCATCACTGTGGCTAATAACGACATCAATCAGGTTGACCACGTTTCACACCATTACTCGCAGCTCGGCAGGAAGCTACATATTTTCCCCCTCACCCACCACCTTCCAGAAAGCAAAGAGTATTCCAGGAGGGAAGAGAATGAAAACCGACATTTTTCTGGGTACTCACTATGTATATGGCACCTGGCTAAGCCCTTTTTGCAGCTGAGAGGTAGGGAGAACTCTCGTTGGCAGAGGAAGACACTGGGGTCCAGAGGAGTGAATGCACACGTCCAAGGTCACAGAGAGCTGGGACAAGAACAATCATGGCAGTGATATATTGCTGAGCACTCACCAGCTCCCGGTGCCGGGCATATGCACGAACCTATTGAAACTGTATAATTTCCATTTTCAGATGAGGAAACTGAGGCTTGAAGCAACGAACAGACTCGTCTAAGGTCACACACTGCTTAAATGAGAGCCGCAGAGTGGCACAGGGCGGAGAGGGTGGCTCTGTGCAGACAGAAGGGTGCCCGCCTCCTGGTTCTGCTCAGTGGTCCTGGGCAAAGCTCACTGCCCCTCTGAGCCTCAATTTCGTCCCCTGAAAAGGGGGAGAATAACATTTCTCCCATTGTGTGGAATAAAATATAAGAAGGATAAAAACAGTAAAACAGCTCACACTGAGTGAGTGTTGAACATGTCCCAGGCGCTCTGCCAAGCACTTTATATATGTAAGCTCATTTGGTTAAATGAGGTAATGCATATAAAGTGCTTAGCACAGGACTCCAGAAATAGGAGTAATAATGGCAATGATGAAGAAATTGATGATGACTCCCTTGGGTAAATCTCCTCGGTGCATCCTCTTACGGGAAGAATAGAGAGGCCTGTGAGGTTTCAGGAAGGAGGTGGACGAGGAAAGAAGGGCAGGGTCTGGACAGGAGAAGGCAAAGGGGAACACATAAAAATCAGGGTGTGAATAGCATTGATAATGTCAAGATCATACATCAAGTAGAAGCCAGGGAAGCGGGGGACCCAAGAGAGTCTACAGAATGGAACCTCCAGGCCAGCCCAGATCTCACCCCTGAGTCCCAGGTGGGCAGAGCTGGCAGGACCCTGGCGGCATAGACTAATGGTTCTTCCCATTTCACAAATGGAAAAACCGAGGCTTGCAGTGAGGAGAAGAATTGCCCAAGTTCACAGGATGTCAGTGGCAGAACCAGGCTTGAACTCCAGGCCTCCTACCTCTCAGCTCGGGGCCCAGGACTTGCTGTGCACCCCGAAGGAAGAGTGCCAGGGGCCCCCGGGTGCGTGGGCCGCACCTCCAGGAGAGCATTCCATGGTATGACACGGTTAAGATGCTACTGTTCACTGAATCTCGTTCTGTGCCTGGCACACTGCTAAGTTCATGAGAAGCATTTAATCCACACAACCCTAAGAACTGGGAACATTATCTCCCTTTAACAGAGGACAAAACTGTGGCTCAGTGAGGGTAAGCAACTTGCCCAGGACCCCAGGGCTAGAAAGTGACAGTCAGGACTCAGACCCAGGTCTGACTTGTCAGACTCTGGGGCCTTGTCCCGATACTAGTTCACCTGAATGGGACGGTCCCCATCTGCTTCTCCTACTCTCCAGTACGCCCACACACCCTGCTCCCTCCCCCAGAACAAGTCTGCCCCAGTGGCAGAAGAATGTTTAGAACTGGTCAGTTTTACTGTAATGATCAAACCCTATTTAAAAAAGAAAAATGACATAGCTCCTTTTATAAAGTTTTCAGTCAAGAAACCAACAGCTTCTTCCTTCTCAGTTCCTTTCCACTGGATGACAAAATAGGCTCCCTTCTCCCTGGGATGACGTCAGGCTGGTGAATTCCAGCATCCGGGAGCACATGACGGAAGCTGCCAGGTAGCAGAGGCTCCTGGGGCTGACCACGGAAGGGACCCACTCTGCAATCAGCCCACACAGAGCAACGGAGCCAAGAGGCCAATTTTCAAGTCCCTCTTTCGAGCCCTTCCCCAAGGTATCTCCTGGAACCTTCACAAGCTGTCCAAAGCCACCCAGCCAAGACGTAGGAGATTCAGAGTCCCAGCCAGGTCACATCTAAGTCCAGAACCCCTTGTGCTGGCGAACCCTCAATATGGAAGGGTGGGTTTACTTAGCTGGTGAGAGCTATGGAGGCAGGGAGGTTGCCTCCACCTGCCACCTTCATTTCTCTACAGAGAGTAGCAAGCATGTCCCCTGGGACCCCTGACTTAATCAGGGCCAGAGCTACTTGCTTTATAATTAAGAAGGCAACAGAGGATGCTGGTCAGCTGCCTGGCTGGAAAGCCTGGCTCCTAACTGTAGAACTTTGGGCAAATCACTTTATAGGGGCACCATGAGGATTTACAAGGAAAAGTGCTTACAAGGGTACCCAGCACCTAGTAAGTGCTCCCTAAAGCTACCTCTTGTTATTATCAGTAACAGAAGGAGCATGGAGCAAGCTATTAAGGATGCTTACCTTTGGGGCATGGAACTGGGCACAGAGGGAAACTTAGCTTTATCTTCTGCTCTGTTCGATTTACTTATGGATTTGTTCACTTTTACGACATGTGTATATTACTTTTCTAATAAAAGAAAGTCCCAGTTGAAAATTTAAAAATGAACACAGAAAAAAAAGGATCCTCTGTTTCAGCACTTCTTGGCATTTTATGTTCCTCAAAGTAGTACATAAAGAAGGGCGTTTCTGCCGTGAGCCAGGAGTTGCCAAAATAACTGATTCATTCATTTATTTTACAAATATTAATGGAGTGCCAGGCACTGTTCCAGCTGCTGGGGATTTAGCAGGGAACAAAACAGATCATTTCTACCCTTCTGGAGTTTCCATTCTACATGATCTTAATTAATCTCCTCTGTAACCCTCAAGGATGAGCAATTTACAGAGAGGCGGACCAAGGCAGCCCAGGGAGGGGGAGTCACCGACCTGCGTCCCACAGCTGGGAGCAGGGCTACAATCATCTAGGCTGGGCTGTTTCTACCGCTGCCCAAGAGGGCAGGTCTGCGGACGGCAGGTTTGGGGCTGGTGTCCCCAAGAGGGGAGAGGCAAGATGAATGGGGAGGTCTGCACACCCAGGCTCACAGCTTCACTCTGTGTTACTGTAGACACCTATGGTGGAGCAGGGGCAACGGTGCAGGGAAAGTGGAGACTCAGATCACGGAGGCAGGCACAACTCACACTCAGACTCGAGAGCTTTGCCCAAGGAGGTCCCCATGCATCTCTGCCTAGAGGAGCACACAGCTTCAAAAACCTCTTGTGGTCGAGCCTCGGCTGTAGGGAAGGCAGGTGACCCTGACCTCTCCTTAACCACCTTCCCAAATCCACCTGCCAGAGACTGAGTTGAAGGGCAGTTGGTCCCGTTCAGCTTCTGAATTCACTCCCCTGGCTTCCCTGAGACAAGAGCCTGAGTTCCCTAGGCCGGGGTTAGGCTAGTGTCCTCAGATGCTTCCGTCCTCCCCAGAGCACCCCAGTATCCCCACGGCCATCAGCGCCAGCCCAGGCAGCGGAGCTGCTCTGCCTGCCCTCACCCGGGGTGCTCCGGTGGAACTGACCACTGATGGAACGCCCTCGGCCGCAGTGGCCACAGCCAGAGCAGGAGGACAGTCTAGCACCCGGGTCTGTCAGACTGGCTCAGTACCCGGCAGCTCCTTGTGACCCTTTCCAGGGAGGTGGCTCTCCATTCCCCGGCCTGCCCAATCAGGAGGGTGAAGGGAGGCAGAAACAGCACAAAGGAGTGAACGGTTCCTGGAGTCTAGTATCCCAAGATCCCAGCACAGACGGGTGAACATGGACCAGAAACGGTCAGAGACCTAGAGACAAGCCGAAGAGAAACCCGAGAGAGACACACACAGGGGCAGAGACTTTTGTGAGAAACACTCACAGGGGCGGAGACCAAGCGGCAGAAACCCAGAGGAAGGGAGACCCACGCAAACGAGTGATCTAGAGGAAAACAAACGGCGGGGATCTCAGCGGATCCATAAACCAGCCCCGGGGCACACACCCCGCCCCAACCAGCCACAGTCCCACAGCGCACCTCCCAGCAGGAGGGCCCTGGTACAGTGTGGGCCAGATGCGTGGAGCCCCAGGCGCAAGGCGGGCCGGGGACTCGCGCACAGGGCGCACTCCAGGACTGGGGAGCGCCGGGCGAGAAGCGCACACAAAGAGACTGCACGGCCAGCAGGAGCAGGCTCCGCCCGTCCATTCCTTGACTCTAGACACCCCCCCACCCTACCCCGCACTCTCACCAGACACACACACACACACAGGGACACAGCACCCAACCCGCACGCCCTGGGACCCCGCCCCACCGCGCCCCACCCTGCTCCGGCCGCCCGGGAGCGCGGCGCTCACCAGCTGCAGGCAGCAGAAGGCGACAAGCGTGCAGCGCCCGCTGCACTTGCCCATGGCTCCAGGGGCCGCGCAGGCCGTCCGCCGCGGCGCCCCTCTAGCTCGTCCTCCGCACCGCGCGGGCTCCGCGTTCTTCCCTCTGGGCGCCGCGGGCGGCGGGGCCGGGCGCCTAGGGCCGGGCCCGGGAGCGCCGGGTCCTCAGGGCTGAGGCGGGCCGCCTGCGCTCTGAGTCCATGGTCCTTCCACCCGCGCGCTGGCTCTGCCGATCCGCGCCTTCTTTGTCTGACCGGCCGGCAGCTCGGCGCGCCTCCTGCCCCGGGGCGGCTGGCGCGGAGCGCGGAGCGCGGAGCGAAGGCACCGAGCGCAGCGCGGCGCAGAGCAGCACTGCCCAGCTGGGGCAGCCGCCCGGGCGCTCCGCGGCCGCCGCTTCCCGGCCCCACCACGTGGCTCCGCCGCTGCCGCCGCCACCACCGAGAGGGAGGGTAGGAGGGAGGGTGGGAGGGGAGAGGTGGGGCGGGGCGGCCTCGGGTGTGGAAGGGAGGTAGGAAGGGGTAGGGAAGTGGAGAGTTGAGGGGATGCGGCCGGGAGTGAAGTGGGAAGAGTACAGGCTTGGAGGCTGATAGCCTTCGGTCAAACCCGAACTTCCCTGCTTGCTCACTCGGTGTGACCTTGGGCAAATCGCGTCACCTCTCTGGGCTTCAGTGTTCTTAAACAAAGTAGGAATAATCACGTCTGCTTCAGGGTTGCCACGAAGACGAAATGCATTTACGTGAACAAAGCGCTCAGCCCCTTGCCCGGCCTCCCGAGTGTGCTTGCTCCGGCACCAAACTGTCCATCCCGTCTCTCAGGACTTAGTGTTCAAACCCTGGCCCTCCACTTCCACTCCAGTTCCCGGACCCGCTGCTCCGCATCCCAGCTTCCCTCCCGGGTGCCTGGTGACATTGTCTTCCTTCCTTCTCCTCTTCTACTAGCATTTCTTGAGCCCGGACTGCATGCACATCCTGGGAGTCCCGGGATCCAGAGGTGAGCCCTGCCGTTCCAGAACCCACGGCGGGAGCTTCCCAGTCAGGCTCCTAGGGGCGGGTCTGCCCAGGGGGGCAGCTGTGCCCAGCCCCCAACCCAGGCTGCAGTGGACAAGGGAGTCGGGAAGGGCTTGCCAGCAGAAGACAGCTCTCTCCAAGACGCCCTGGGGAGGCACTCAACGCTCAGACACACCTCAGGTCCATCTCATCATCATCCCTGCCCCATGCCTAACGTCTCCTAGTCTCTTGGTGATCAGGATCACTTAGGTGGGAATCCCTCATCCTCCCTCCAGGCTTCTCTCTCCCATCTGACCTGTGAACGGCACCTTCCAGCTAGTATTTATGAAATACCTACTATGTGCCAGGCTCTCCACTGGGGAGAAGGGGAGGCACTGGTCTCTGCAGTTACTGAGAGAAGTCTAGTGAGGAATTGTCCTTAAAACAAGAAAACACATAAATAAATACATAATGACGAATTCTGATGGGCGCCTTCAAGGGTAGTAAGGAGTAAAAGAGAGACTGAAGGGGCATAAATCAGGTCTGGAGACCAGGAAGGACCTCCCTGAGGAAATGACACTGATACTCGAGAAGGTAAGAGGAGAGAAGGAGAGCAGAAGAGTGGAGAATAGTATTCTGGCAGAAGAAGAAACAGACCAGATGTTTCTTATTCTTGCCATTCCTCCCCACTCTCACTAGTCCTCTCGTCTCAGAAGGCAGTATAATACTAAGACCACGGTTTGGACCCAAACAGCCTGGGTTCCAGAGCCAGCACTGCCACTTGTAAGCTGCTTACATAGTAAGCACTCAAATGCATTATTATCTACTTCCTAGGACTGGCTACATGATTTGTGGGGGCCAGTGCAGAATAAAAATGCAAGGCTCCTTGTTACCAAATTCAGAATGATGACAGGGCAGAGCATTACGCCGAGCACAGGGAGGGCCTTGCAGGACCAAAGCCAGCCCCATCTTCTCGCCGGGCTATTAAAATGGTCTCTTCACTGGTCTCCCTCCTCCACCCATCCCTTTGCGTGCCGCCTGGTGTTTTAAAGCATACAGGATACCCACAGAATTGCAACAGCATGGGCTGAGGCTTCCACTTGGAATAACAAGGTGAGATCATAGTGGGAACTTTTCTCAGCCATGCTTGGGCGAGAAACAGCTGTGTCCAACCAGGTTCCATGACTAGCAGGCTCCCAGGAGTCTGTGAAGTCCCTAAAATAATCTGCAAAGCTTCCTGTGAGCAGATGTGCCTTTTTCTGGGGAGAGGGTTCACAGCTTTCGTCAAATTCTCCAAAGAGTCCATTTCCACAAAAGAAGAACCACCAGCCCACAAAGGATCAGCTGAGATGTAACAGTCCACTACCAGACCCTCCGTGGGGCCTCTTCCAGAGGGAGCTTCTGCCGATTGCCTCTGCGATGCTATCAATGCGGTTCAATAGCAACAACCACAGCTACCATTTACTGAGCACTCTCTCTAAGCTAGGCGCTTCACATACATTGTCTCATTTAATCCTTACAATCGCAGTGGATTTCGCTGGGGCTGCGACTAGCCCTCGCCAGGTTTGTGGCTGCATCGTGTGTCTGGGACACCTGTTCCAAGGCCTGACTGACTCACTCTTAAGTCTGTCCCGTGGGACCAGGGGTGGCCTGGCTGACCTCAGCAGAACTAGCCTCTGGCCCCACGTCACTCCCACCTACAACAAGTCTTCCTGAAATAGGAATTCTTCAGACAAGAGTTCCTATTGAAATTTCAAATCTCAGCTCAACTGTCACTTCCTCCCCGAGGCCTTCCTGACCACTGTGATCTGGGAGAAGTGCCCTCTCTTTGAGCTCATGCGTGGTTTGTGATACCTTTGTTATAGCTTTTACTGAGATTTACTCTACTTGTCTGACTTTGTTTATTTCCCCCGATAGACTGTGAGCTCTACGAGGATAGCGACTGTGTTGTAAATTACCTCCACATCCTACAGGGCTGGGATCATGTCCGGAGTCAGCAAACATGTGGTGAATGAATGATCTTCCCAGCCCCAGGCCCCAGTGTATCTTGCGTCCTCTTACCCCTGGAATTCTGGGGTTCAAAGTGGGAGGGTGATCTAATTATAGGAACAGATGGAACTGTCCTAGCAAGAAGTTGGAGGGGTTTAGGAGCTGGGGATGATGTCGGGGGCCAGGTGCTTGTGAGTCCCCATAAAGGATGACTCATCCCTCAATCAGGGAAAGGTTGTAGGGAAAATGAAGCAGGTTTTAGTAACACAGGACAGAGATGATTCAGAACATGCCCACGCCTCCTGAGTGAGAAGGCAGAATCATGGTCAGCTCTAGAGAGGCGCAGTACGAGCTGCCGAAGTGATGAGATTCGTGGGCTGTGCAGAAGTTCCTTCCTTGACCTAAACCAAGGTGGGTCAGTGTTTGAACTTTTGTCCCTCTGGGAGTTAAAACACTGAGAGCTTTTGAGAAAGTTTGCTCATAAGATAGTCAAAATGTTCAACCTATTTCTCCCTCTTCCAAGTTAGAGGACAGAATGTGCTCACTAATTATAGTTTCTGGAGTGTTTTTCTTTCTTTCTTTTTTTTTAAAAAAGATTTTATTTATTTATTTTTAGAGAGGGGAAAGGGAGGGAGATAGGTTGAGAAACATGGATGTTCAAGAGACATGTTGATCGGTTGCCTCTCACATGCCGCCCCCAACTGGGGACCTGGTCTGAAACCCAGGCATGTGCCCTGACTGGGAATTGAACTGTCAACCTTTTGGTTTGCAGGCCACCACTCAGCCCACTGAGCTGCACACCAGCCAGGGCCTGACCAGCTCGGATGGCAGTAACACTTGTGGAAAGTTTCCTCTCCTCCCCTGGGCCTGTGGGGTCCAGATTCCCTAGCACGGAAACTTCTGACAGCCGAGACCCATCTCCCTTTGCGCCAGTTCTTGGAGGCCGCACAGGCTGTCAGTTAAATGCTGCCCTCAGGCCAGCTTAGCTGGGGACACTGAGAGGTGGCAAGTGGTCCCCTCCAATTGCTCCTGCAGCAACTCATTGGGCCCTTACTATGTTGCACTGGGCTTGTCCAAGGGCCAACCGGGGAGAGAAAAGCAGCTCAGGCCAGGTCCCTCCAGCGGGCCCCAAGTGCCCTCGTAGGGTTCTCAACCCCCCTGCTGGCTCCCCACCCCTTATTTTCCCCAAGTCCTCACCCAGGCGTCCTCTCACAGCGAACCAATTCATTTAATCCTAAAATCGCCATCTTAGAGTCTAAGGAAGACCACAGAGGTCCTCTAATGGACCGGCTCCCACGTGTCAGCGTACAGACCTGCACCTGAATCAGGGCCCCACACGAGCCCAGCTCAAGCAAAAACTCTGGAGTTGGGACCTGATGACGGGTATTTTATTTTATTTATTTTTTATTTTTTAAGTGACATTTTTAAAAAAGATTTATTTATTTTTAGAGAGGGAAGGGGGGAGAAAGAGAGAGATAGAAACATCAATGTGCGGTTGCTGGGGGCCATGGCCTGCAACCCAGGCATGTGCCCTGACTGGGAATTGAACCTGAGACACTTTGGTTCACAGCTTGCACGCAATCCACTGAGCTACGCCAGCCAGGGCTGATAATGGGTTTTAAAAACATGCTCCTCAGGAATTCCGACGAGCAGCTCTAACCCTTGATGTCAACACAACACAGGCGCTCCTGTCAAATGGTCACGCAGCTTCTGCTCACACACGTCCAGAGGGGAGGGACGCTGTGTCCACCCTGCGGACACCTCTGATGGGGCCGAGCTCTCTGTGGGTGTGACTCTGCCTTCTAACACTTTGTCTTGGCTCCGCACACTGAGGCCTCCCCGAATGAACACTGTCTCTTTTCCCGGATAACCTGATGTTTAAAGACAGCGATCGCATCTAGCTCCCTAGTTCCTACAACCGTTCCCCACAATGCTCTTCTCAGTGGGTCCTCGGAACCAAAGCATCCTCGGGTGTGGCCCTCTGACCACAACCAGGAAAGCTCTGCTGGCTCCCTTCCCACAAGACAAAATGCAAAACTGCCAGCCTGGCTGTGAAGACCCTTTGCAATCAGGCTGCCACGTTCTTCAAGGTTCCCACTCATCTGTGGTTCCTCCAGGGCGTCGTTACCACTGCACGCTATGTCGTGTTTGAAGGCACCCAGTTTGATCTCTGCTCACCCTCATTTCTCATCCCTGTTTCCCCCACCCCAAGTCTGTATTCCCCCCCTCCAACCTCCCTCCCTCCCTTCTTCCCAATTTCCAGTCCTCCTTTAGGATTCACTTTAAGTGTCAGTTCTGTAGTAAAGTTTTCTCTAATCGCTCCTCCAGTACTGCCTCCTCATTCGCCGGCATCCCTCTGACAGCAAGCATGCGTTGGA